CACACACACACACACACACACACACACACACACACACACACACACACACACACACACACACACACACACACACACACACACACACAGCAAGAGCTGAATACAAAGTTATTACATCAATTGAAACCCTCTACAGGAAGCCTGTCACAGGCCAGTCTTTCCATTGCTGTAGAAAAGTCGAGTCAAGTGGCCGTCACATTGCGCAACATCGGATAATCAATACCTCAACTTTTCAAGAGAGGCTTATCCAATCAGATGGATGCATTGTTCTTTAAAAAACTAATCAGGTATCATTTGTCAGGAAGACAATTTGCATTTTCTAAAAGCCACTTGTGGAGAGTGAAGATTTGATTTGGAAATACTGCTCGGACACAGAAGTAAAACCTAAGAAGGTTGGTATTGATTGGTTCACCGGAGGGAAAAAACAGCACGATCATCCACTGGAGACTATATTCAAACACTTTCTGTTTAAAAGTGAGTAAAGTAACTTTGAGTTATTTTTAAAGCACTTTTAGAGACAAGAAACAGTCACTAAGTGCTTTACAGGGGTAAATCGATTAAAGAAAGTAAACACAAAGAAGCAGAAAAGGTTAGTTATTGGTCTCCTTTTGGAAAATGGAAGCTGTGGTCACCTTAGGTTTACTAAAAATCAACTAAATTCTAACTGGGTGGTTTTTTTCAGCAAACAATAAAGCAGGAAAATGCCAAGAGAAACCTGCAGCTCCTTTACTGCATAATCATATCTACAGGAATTGGAAGCAGCGGAAGGATTCAATACCCAAGGCCGGCATTCTGCAAGAACAGCGTGCAGGTATGTGTTCTAGTTGGGTGCCATTTAATTTCACCATTTTTATAGCAATGAATCAAATGCATCCTCCAGAGCAGCAAATGAGAACGCACCATGAAGGATTTAACCACTAGCTAGAGCAATTGATAATATTAGCTGGACATGTCTTTAAGGGACTGTGGGAGAGCAGAGCAGAGCTAAAAAGAAAAGTCAGTACTGGACATCCAACAGGTGGCCAGATACGTCTTACATTATGAATTAACCAAGTTGAAAAACTTTTTAAATCAGGCACCCAACTGAATCACGGATCTCATAGAGGCAGACAGCTGCACACACTGATCCTTGCACCCATTATTACTTCAAAAAGAAAAGCTCACTCCAAATATGTGACCCCAATTTGAGTATGCAGTTAAGAAAATTAATAGATGGACACAATATAGCCAAAAAAGCCATTTAGGACTATTTATTAACAATGATGAACAAATGGACCAAATAACGATCGGATGCCGCTTTTACCATGGCGACAGCACTTCTCCAGATCAAATGTTAAAATTGTCTTAGATTTTAAGGATCAGATCAAGCAGAGTTCAAAGATGAAGAAGCTGAAAAGGCAGAATTTGTGAAGAGTGTCACTTCAAAGTTACAGTTTTGGTTTGCTCGCTCTCTCGTTCCTTTGAACATATAATATCTACCAGTCAGAGTGGCTTATGAAGACATAGCAAGCTGCACTACCGGCAGCTATTACAAATGTACCTGAAACTGTAAACAGACACATCCTTTTGTCAAAAACACTTGGCGAAAAAAATAAAAAATTTAGTTTAAAACCATCAGACTTAATGTTTTATTATGCACACTGGTTCAACGTCAGTTACCCTTACAGCCGAGTGCAGAAAGCAGATTTAGTCGGTCCTCGGTGGTTCAGTAAACAGAATCAAAAGAGCTCGTTTGAGTCCGTTTCACTGCGGTTCTTTTCATTGTATTGGTGAGCCTCAAGCACAGAGATGGAGGCCAATTATTGAGCAAACTACTTCATCTTTTTACTCTGACTGTAAGAACAGTGGGTGGTGATTTTTGTTCTGTTGGTTTTTTTTGTTTTGTTTTTTTCTCATGAAGAAAAGCAAAGCTGGTCAGACGCACGAGGAAACAAACCCCAGTCCTTACGGTCCAACGTGGATCTAAGTGTTAGCTACTCCAAAGGCATGCACACAATTCAATTCAATTTGTTTTATGTAGCGCCAAATCACAACAGCAGTCCCCTCAAGGTGTTTTATATCGTAAGAACACACAATGATACAGCGAAAACCCCAACAATCAGACAACCCTCTATGAGCAAGCACTTGGTGACAGTGGGAAGGAAAAACTCCCTTTAAACAGAAAGAAACTCCCAGGAAAACCAGGCACAGTGAGGGGCAGTGTTGCCGGTTTGGGGGTGAGGGATGGGAGACAGGACAAAAGACACAGATATTAGTAATACCTAACGATTAAATGCAGGCTGGTGTATAAACACCAAACATAAAAAAAACAAAATAAAAAAAAAAACACTGGGAAGCCCCCAGCAGCCTAGGACTACTCCCTATAACCGAGGGAGGGTTCAGGGTCACCTGATCCCGTCCTAAAAAAAAGAAACATTTTAAGCCTAATGATAAACACACACACATACACAATTCAACTTGTTGGGTCATTAAAATTTCATACAGATGGCAGGCATAAAAGTGTCAGAATGACTGGACACAGAGAGTGGCGGGCACTGAAAATGAATTCAACGATTAGGGCAGGGCTTCTGTCGTAAAAACGCCAACATGGGTTAATTATTGAATTAAGCACTAACCGTAAAAGGGTGGCGCCACGCATATTAACACTTGCAATAATGGGCATTAATGGGGTAGAAAAGAGTCCAGCAGATGCGATTAATCTAACACAGCATATAGGTAAAAGGGTTCCTTCAGGACAACGACAGCAAATGAGCATAAACAAGCCTCTCCCAATGAAACCGAGCAACCGTGACAGTAATCTGGCTTGTCATTGGAAGGCGCTCCTGTGTATAACTACTCAGACGGCAGCCAGTGTAAACACATATGGGCACACAAAGTATTTGACTGTCACACTCAAATGAAATTCAATTTACAGCCATTAACAAAGGTCAGGACCAAAAAAACAAAACAAAAGAAAAAAGATACACAGAGGGATTTTTCAGAGACTGTTTGAGCCCTCTGTTTTTGCAGTATCACAGTTTACACTTCCCTAGTCGAGTCCAATCACACATCAGTGCAAGTAAGAACTGGATATTGTAAACAAATGACATAAAAAGCTGAGGTCCTCTATATAAAAAGTAAAAGGCACATAAGTAGTACATGCAAAGTAAAAGTACTCGGTCCCTGTGGCTATTATCACAGTTCTAGTTTTTCCAGTTATAGCCGGTCAAGGTGGAGCTACTGTTTTGCAGTTGTATACACAGGCAGGTATTTTTATTATTATTAGTATTATTTATTTATTTTTACAGAATATCCTCCTTTGAAAGGGTTATAAGTGAAAAGAGTGATGAGTCATCACATGATTCATGGGAGAAGGTGTGTGTTCTGTGACGCAAATTTGATTTTGTTTCCCCCCCCATAACCTTTGTTTACGTCTAAAACGTTCGATCGTTTTTCTTCTCTGGCCTCAAACAGTCATTTAAATAAAACCACCCGAGAGGCTTTTGTTACTCACAGTCATCAGTCGTCAGACACTTTAACAGGATGCGAGCTTTTGTGTTAAAAATGTTAAGATTACAAAATTGTTCTTCTTTTTACATAAACCTTTTTTAATTGTTTAAAACTGTATTTAGTTACTTTCTACCACAGTGTAATGTAACTAACTGGAACTATGTAAAGATTTGTGGATTCATGCTTTTTGATGTTGAACCAGTGCCACGTCTATGCGCACACATACACACACCACATTATGTGGGTATCATAAATGCCCGAGGGTCACCATAACAGGCACATGATCATCAGTAACCATACTCACAATGGTCACTTGTTTTATTGCAGATAATGTCCAAATCACACTATTATAAGCCATGGAGGATACATGCTTTGGCTCAAAATATAGACATAAATCAGCAGAAATGAATGGAGTGATTAACACGCTTGCCTAACATCCAAAAGATCCCAGATTTGAGACTAGGTGGACACGCAAACCCATGGGAGGGTTGTGTCAGACCTGCTTTTCGACCTCTTGTGAACAAGGGAGCAGCTGAAAGAAGTTTTAAACTTCCTTATGTTTTGTGGCTGCTCTGCTGCTACGATGCACACACAGGCCTGTCTATAGGAGGTTATTACTGAGGAACACCGTTAATCCAATCCAGATTTCACTTCAGCTCCTTTAACTGGACCTGAAGTTGTTGCTTACAGGTGTTTGTAGGATTCTGAGTTCATTAAATACCTGCAGCTCCACAGCAACAGGGTCGGTACGTGCATCCACAGAGTGCGAGTTTCAACAGAGGAGACTTCACTGCAGTTATTAATTATCACAGAGATGGGATCGCTCAGGAACTAACAGTAAGTCACAGCCTGTTCTTTTCACCACCTCACACAGCTGAGCCTTCACACCGGGGTCACAGTTTCACAGTTCAATCAGCTGTTACACACCGGCTGGCCTTCGAGCCTGAGCTCCATCACAGCTGTCTGAACATTTCTTATTCTACGTGTAAAGTCTGGTCGTTTCAGTAAAAACAGAAAGAAAAAAATATTATTCTTGTCAAGCTTGATTTAATTTCTTTAACATTTTTATGCCTTTTTATCTGA